TCTATGGGAATGTTTGACCATTCTTCCAGAAGTGCATTTGTAAGGTCAGGAGCTGATATTGGATGAGAAGGTCTGGCTTGCAGTCTCTGCTCTAATTCATTCAAAAGATGTTCTATTGGGTTGAGGTTAGGAATCTGTGCAAGCCAGTCAAGTTCCTCCACCCCAAACACGCACATCCATGTCTTTATGGACCTTGCTTTGTGCACTGGTGCGCAGTCATGCTGGAAAAGGAAAGGGCCATCCCCAAACTATTCCCACAAAGTTGGGAGCATGAAATTGTCCAAAATATCTTGGTATGCTGACGCCTTAAGAGTTCCCTTTACTGGAACTCAGGGGCCAAGCCCAACCACTAAAAAATAACCCCAAACCATAATCCCCCTCCACCAAACTTTACACTTGGCACAATGCAGTCAAGCAAGTACCGTTCTCCTGGCAACCGCCAAACCAAGACACATCCATCGGATTGCCAGACAGAGAAGCGTTACTCATCGCTCCAGAGAACATGTCTCCACTGCTCTAGAGTCCAGTGGCAGTGTGCTTTTCACCACTGCATGCAACGCTTTGGATTGCACTTGATGCTGTAAGGCTTGGACGTAGCTGCTTGGTCATGGAAACCCATTCCATGAAACTGTGTATGCACTGTTGTTGTGCTATTCTGAAGGCCACAATAAGTTTGGAGGTCTTTAGCTATTGACTCTGCAGACAGTTGCTGACTTCTGCGCAATGTGCACTTCAGCATGTGCTGACTCCGCACTGTTATTTTACGTGACCTACCACTTCATGGCTTAGTTGCTGTTGTTCCCAGTTGCTTCCTCTTTGTTATAATACCACTAACAGTTGACTGTGGAACATTTAGCAGCAAGGCAATTTCACGGATGGACTTATTGCACAAGTGGCAACCTATCACGGTACCACGCTTGAATTCACTAAACTCCTGAGAGTGACTCATTCTTTCACAAATGTTTGTAGAAGCAGTCTGCATGCCTAGGTGCTTTATGTTATACACCTGTTGCCATGGAGGTGATTGGAACACTTGAATCTAATGATTTGGAGGGGTGTCCCAATACTTTTGGAAATATAGTGTATATTCAAAACACAACTATTGGCAAACCCTTTGTTTTTCATTTTGGAAAGAGTAAGGGAGGGTTTTAACCCCGTCAGTTTTGTGTTACCATCTGTGCCCTATAAGGGAGAATTCACTTCACATCCTGTTCCATACACAAAACAGGAAGTGAGAGGAAATCTCTAAAAATTATGGGAATATTAAGGGAATCCCTTGAGACTCTTCAGTTACCGAGAAATATTTTCCCCAAAGGAAGATTTCCCCTCTATTTCTGTTCTGGGGACAACCCAAATTTGGGATTTTCTTTTACTTTTAGTGTTCTAATCCATCTCTACTCTATCCATAATTTAAAAAAAAAAGTTTTGCCTTTAGTTATATAGTACTTTAAAGATTTATCATTGAATACATGGCTGCATTTAGGTCTTTTGAATCTATCTGGCGTTCAGCTTTAACCTGTGAAAAACATAGGTGTCATAAGTTCAGCTGTCATTCAGCATCTCAGAACATTTTCACCATTCTATAACACATTTTCCCTTCAAATGCTAAGATTTTGACAACAGCCACTAGTTAAAAACTAGGACATGTGCTTGATAGTAGTATACTGTCTCTTTTACAATGTATTAAAAATAAATCTTATGAATAAACCAAAAAGAATATCCAAATGCCTGGTCTAGCCTAACCTACATGACACTAAATTAATATGTATGATTTATACTATAAGACTTGTTGGAGGAAAACTTTATTAAGAAAATACTACAGCAGACAAGGTTGTCTTGTAAATAATCAATAAAAGTCTTATGACCCCAGAAATTCCTCATTTGCACTGTGATGCATGTGCAAAGTGTTTACTGCCTCTAGCACCACTGATCCTATATCAGATGGGGTCTGCAAGTTGAAGCTGGGGTCTGCTTCAGGCTAGCCATCATTCTCTGTGAGCGAGCCTGAGGCAGACCTACCTGATACTGATTACAGGATCAGCAGTGCTAGAGGCTGTAAACTCTCTGCACAGGCCTTTCAGCGCAACTGAGGAATTGTTGGGGTTAGAAGTTACTTATATGTTGCTTAAGGCAGCACACAGAAAGCCTGACACTGACTTAGTTTTTTTTTTTAAACACAGTCATCATTTAAGAAACCCAGAAAGATCATCACGTTGCACTGTGCTTGTTTAGACCTTTCAGATAGTTGGGGTTCTATGTTCTATGAGGGGTCTTCAAAACATTTCCACACTTTTATACATACATATATGTTAAAAAAAGTGTGTAAACTTTTTGAAGAACCCTCATATTTAGCAACTACTTTTTCTAATGTTATGTAGTTTAAAATGGTATGATAAATGGTATTATAACTTATCATTCTGTAACTTTCATGTTTTTATGCTTCTCCCACTTTGACTTTTTATCAAACATTAAATTTGTAAGTAGGTATAATACTGTATTTGTTAACTACCACAGAGACATTATGTGCTGCAGTTCTCTATTTTAAAATTGCACCTGGTTACAGGTTGAGTGCATGAAGTCTCTGCAAGCTCAGGGCTGAACCTGCTGCCTGCGGTCTAGAGCTAATTCTCAGAGCTCCTAGGTTTCCACATTGTGGTTACAAGGGGAGTCCCATCTAACATAATATCATAGGGATTCCTTGTGAGCTCCTGTGGCCTTGTTTAACCTCCCTAGCGGTCTGATTATGTCCATATTTCTGTGCTCAAAACGGTACATTTTTTTACATGGAAATATGTATTTTTTTTTATTGTAGGCCTGTAATTTTTAGGAATAACTCACTGAAATCTGTCCGAACAAGAGTCTAGTAAACATCCAGGGTAGGATAAAATTTGAAACACGAAATCATAAATTATAATTTAGTAAATAATCATAAAAAATAATAATATAATAATAAATTTAATTCAATAATATAATCAAACCAAAAACACTGAAATTTGAAATATAGCGCCAAGTTTGCACATCACTGAGCAAAGTCGCAAAATTGTTTTCAGTGTCTGATGACGAATTTCCCCACGAATCATTATCACTCAATTCTGCAAGTGGTTCTGATTTACTATCGCTGTTCTCTAGCTGCTCTAAAACCGCTTTTGACCTAAAGGGACACTTTTTGGACGCCATGGACGTTTCTCAGTTTCCAGGCAATAAGAACAGTAAAAATGCAGGCAGGGCACAGGACAAAGTACTAGGGACAAAATGTATGTGAAATGGTTTGATACAGTAATATTTTACTATGTGATTTTAGTGAATGTCACTTTTTGTCATTTTCAAATTTCCCGTCATTCCGTCCCCCGTACGTCCCGATGCTCACAGGGGACGGAACCCAGAAGACAGATGCTGGCAACGCCGGATTACATTGTTGGGGACACTGCAGGGGGGACATCGCGGGAGCGCAGGACAAGGTAAGTGATCGAGGGATCACGGAGCAGCGCCGCATGGTATTCCCGAGTGTAGCTCAGGGTTACCACTTGTGGTACTCGGGAATACCGCCAGGGAGGTTAATGTGATATCTTCTTTGGCTCTGCCTTTCCCCACATCTGTAGCCACAGATCACTGTGACAGTGATATATTCCTTGCTGATAACAACAAGCAACAGATGTAAGTGAGCTGCTATTGCAAAAGTATTCAGAGGTTAAATCAGTAAGAATCAATAAAAAAAAAACATAAAAAACCCCACAAATACCCCTCCACATTAAACTTCAGATCCTAATGAACACACTGGACACCTTAAAAAGAAGTATGGGCTATGGGGGAAAAAAACCATTATACTCACCTAGGTAGATGCAGCATTGATCAAATGCTGCATCTGTCCCCCGCCAGCTCTGCACAGAGAACTGAGCAATCAAACAACAGGATTGCTCAGTTTTCCCCACCTCTCTGAGCAGAGAGCCATGACTGTCATTCACCGCCTCTCTGCTCTGCCCCTCCAGAGCTCACTGGAGCCCTGGGTTGTGGAGGGGGTGGGAGGGGCTGGCTTGAGCTCTTGGCAGATCGCTGAGAGGCTGAGACAGGTGCCAGTCAAGGCTTCTGGGCAGATCCCAACAATATGATCAGGATATTTTCTGAGCCTGGACCGGCTCTGCGACATAACCTGACAGCTGAGAATGAACTGCACTCCTGTGGCGCATACGAGTACAGTCAAAATACCTTTGGCTATACTTATTCTTTAAGCTTTAGGGTGCCTAAGAAAGCCTGAAAGATATCGTTCATTTTTTTTTTGTGGTTGCATATCCACATACACAATACCATCACACCAATTTCCTTTTACTTAAACACATTTTTGTCTTAGTGCTACACTAAAAAACAAATTATTTTTACCTGTGTGTCATGATGCAACATTGGAGGCCCATTCCCGCCACTTTCATTGGTCTGCTTTTCTCAATGTGTTGTTTTCAATAGACACAATTCACACCAACATTACAGAGCTAATGAATTTTAGCTCCTGTCCACACATCATTGCAATCAATTAACTAAAAAATACACCTCAATGTAACTCAACAATTAAAAAACAGATGTCCTCGTACGTGAACTCAAATGCATTTAGTGCATGTTAACGCATGCTAAATGCAAAGGAAGTGGCATGAATTCAGAAGGAAAAAAGTTACAGAAAAAAAAAAAAATCACACTTTTTATGACGAATATCTGAAGCTGCACTATCTTTATCTGATTCACACTCTTTCTTGCTAATTAAAACTTGTTATTAAAAAAAAAAAAAAGATTCATAATATGTAGAGTAGATATTCCAAATGTATTTGGTGCAAAACTCACACGCAGACACATTGCAATATTATTCTCCCTGTGAGCTTTCACATAGCCTGTGTTCTATACTCCATTTAGCAACTAATTTGCCTATTCTTTGTAGGTTTGCAATGTCGCCAGATTGAACTAATCTCTTTCAAATAGCATACATCATATATTTTTTTGCTGCTGGGAAGTGTACTTACTGAGCAGAATGATGATACAAAGTAGAATTGCAATGATTGCTCCTGTTCCAAGGCCAGTTCCAATAATGGGGGCAACTCCACTACAATACCCATTCATGTCACAAGAACAGACTTTCACACGCAAATACGAAGTGTTTGACATGGAAGGATTTCCTGAATCTGTGATCTGTACTGGGATGTTATAAATTCCATCATCAAGAGATCCAATTTTCAGGCTGAGCTGAGCATGGTCGCCTGGTCAAAAACAAACAAATATTTTGTTTATATCAGCTGCTAATACATTAGATTGAATAAAAAATAAACGTTCTCCTATATCTAAGACCAGCTGGAGCAGCTTAACAACTATTTAGATTTACTGAGATGCCAGTATCAGTTCTCCCACAGCTTAATCTGTGGTAAACTTTCATGTTCTCTGTTTTCTGTAATTTAAATCTGGCCATACATGGATAGAAATTCAGCCGTTTCAGCAGGGACCAGCTGTATTTTGATCCATGTATGAGCAAGGTGCTTTTACAAAAGTTGATCAACTGATCGACTTCTGTACAACCGACTTGTCAGATTCTTCCTGCTCAATCAGCACTGTAGACTATATACTGCAATGCTGATCAGTGTATTCTGACAGCGGGGAAGTCTCCCATTCTCCCTGAGTGTGTGGACAAGGGAATAGGGTAGATTTTACTGTTTATCCCACTGTTCACTAATATTTGGGCTGCTTAAAGCTGTGTGAAAACCTTTAGGGAAAGGCAAAAGGTTTTAATTTGAACTTAATCTTGCAAAACTGTGTAGACCAAAGTTTGCTTTGCATTGCAGTGAGTCACATTTTTGCTTGTAACTTGTCCTTCTTGGTCTTATTCCATTTGATCTTATTCTTTTAATGATGTCAATGGGAACACATAACAAATGAAGAGTATGCATTTATAATGCATTCTACATGTTTTAAGGTGTGTTTACCACAATGTCTTTGTGGAACATAATACACCTTTAAAAGTAATAACCAAGGGTCCAAGGTGTCAAACTAAAATAGATCACAAGTGCAACAAATATATCTGTTATATATACAAAACCTTTACTTTGCCCCTTCTCCAGCAGCCCATACTTACCTTTCCTTCACTCCCCCAGTTGCTGATGGCAAAGAAGGTTCTTTTGGGCATGGGGCACCATGTAACTTGCTCCACTGAGTGCACTTGGCCAACCACCAAGCAGCCATGCTACCAAAGGACAATCATGCACAGCCTAGCTTACACGGGATAGCTTCTTCTGCATCCTACAGCAGACTGAGGCACTGGGAGGGATAAAGGTATGTGCTGCAGGGGAAGGTGGTAGTAAAGCAAGCCTATTATTTTATCCCACATGTGTAAAGCACAGATTCACTTAAAATACAAATACACACCAAGGTTTGCTTTAAAAAGTAACAGGCTACCTTCTTTATACAACTTTACCTCCATTGTTACCCTCAGAAAACAGATGCATAGAAACTATTCTCCCACTTCTGCAAATAGCATGAACAATAGCAAACACCAAAAAAATTTATATTAGAAAGCTAAAGCACATAAAAGATATTGTGTAACTGCTACAAAGTTCTTTTGTATATAAACAAAAAACCCACAACTTTTATACCAGCTATAATATTCCCCCGTAAAAAGCAGAGTACATTTTTACATAAACCTAAGAAAATATTTTGTACGTAACAAAACCAACTAAAAAAGCATTGCACATAATATCTCTTGCAAAAATGTTCACAATAGCAAGTTATTTTTCCAGCATTGCTTACAGTTATACATAAAAAAATAACAATGATAGGTAACAAAGCAATCAACAATATTATAGTTTAGTTTGCAGCATTAAACAGCTGTGGGAAGAAGTGCAATTGTAACAGCAGGTTTCATTTGTCCAAATTATTAAAACTAGTCTAATAGACAAAGCCTGAGCACACACTTTCCTGATTAGTAGCATTTAACTATGATTTGACGTAGGAAGCATCGTACAACTGTTCTTTATTTATACTACCACAGGGGACCTTCACTTATTAAAGTTAGCAGGAGTTTGCTTCTTTTTTGCCACGTTATGGTACTAAAGTATTCTCAGAAACCATACTGTATCTACTGAAAGGTTTTGTGTACCTAAAATATTGCATATTAAAATGAATGGATACACAGTGACAAAGTGACAATAAAATATTAACAGCAGGTAACTGAGAAACTAAAATAATTCACTTGTAGAGTGTCAGTAACATATACAAGCAAAAGCAGTGAAGATTACTCCATATAATACCATTTGCTCTTCAGTGCAAGTGACCATAGGCTGCTTTAAAACAACACTCAGCCAATGGAAGCAAGAAGAAAAATCCCTGCAGCATCTTCTAGTGCAACACATGCTCACTGTTGAAAGTTACAGGTGTGAAGTCAACTTTAGAGGAACCAGCTTTGATCTGAGCATTGGCAGAATACACAGAAGGCAATACAGGGGTCCCAGCTCTTATGAGAATGGGCCAGCTGGACAGTGAACTGGTTGCATACATTTGGGACATACAATTGCAATAGAAAAGGGAATACTGACATCCTGGAAGTTTCCTCTTTGGATTTTCTACTAATTTTATCTTGAGTATAACCTACCTTTTAAAGTGCATCTTTAGCCAAAATGTATTTTTATTATAAAGCAATTATAAAAGCCAATTAAGATACCTAGCAGATGATTCCTCTCTTAGTTATAATACCTTGTAACAATAACTAGCCTTTGTTTTCTAACATGTCAAAGTAAACCATGTCAGATGCCCCCAGGTCTTTAAGTGTTCATGTACAGGGGGCATTTGGAAAACTCTTCTGAACGATGGAAACTGACTGCTGGAAAGCGTAGGTTAAAAAATGTCAGTTTAGCCGCGTTTGCATACCACGTTTATGCACGTTTGCGTTTAGAAGCGTTTTTAAAAGATAACCTCAGGAGACCCTCCCAAATGCCCAGAATGCACTGAAAAATAGTAAAATTCACTAAAAAAGGCTACTTAAATGCTGCATGAGTTATTTTATCAAGTCATGCGGTATTTTAGTAGTGAAAAGCATGTATTAATGGTTCAGCTGTCAGCAGGATTCCCACTGACAGCTGAATGTAAAAGAAAGAATTGCTGGCAATTCAAAAATAATAAAAAAAAACAGCCCTTCAGGTCTGGTATGGATTTTGAGGGGAAGCCCTACGCCACTATTAAAAAAAAAAATGGCGTGGGGTTCACCCCAAAATCCATACCAGACCCTTATCCAAGTATGTAGCTCGGCAGGTCAGGAAAGGGGGGCGAGCAAGCGCAAGGGGCCCCCCTCCTGAACCATACCAGGCCACATGCCCTCAATATGGGCGGGTGCTTTGGGGTAGGGGGAGCTTCCCCACAACCCTGGGCTGTGGTTGTGGGGGTCTGCATGAGGGGGCTTATCGGAATCTGGAAGCCCCCTTTAGCAAGGGAGCCCCCAGATACCGCCCCCCCCCGCCACCACGTGAATGAGTATGGGGTACATGGTATCGCTACCCATTCACAAAAAAAAAGCTGTAGTGTGGAAAAAAGACAGAAGTCTTTCTCTGACAAGTCCTTTAATAAAAGAATGTCCCCCGAAGTAAATCCAACGTCAATCACAATGTCACGATATCCGTCGCCACCGCTGCCTCTCCGAAGAAAAAAAAAAAAGGCTCCGCTACTGCCCCTTACATATTTAAGAAATGTCAAACCAGCTTCTGAGCAAATGGCCGGGAGCCAGCGTCGGTAGCGGAGTGTTTTTTTTTCTTTTTCCCTCAGAGCGGTAGTGATGGATATTGTGATTGATGTTGGATCTACAGCTAAAGGGGGCTTCTAGATTCCGTTAAGCCCCCCCACCCGCAGACCCCCACAACCACCAGCCAGGGTTGTGGGGAAGAGGCCCTTCTCCCCATCAAAATCAAGGTGCTCTCACTCGCCCCCCCCCCCCCCCCCCCCCCCTCCTATCCTGCCGGGCTGCATGCGTTTTTTTTGGAGTGCGGCTTCCCCTCAAAATCCATACCAGACCCGAAAGGCTTGGAATGGATGGGAGACCCCACGACGTTTTTTTTAAAATAATTTTTTAATTGCCAGCAATTCTTTCTTTTACATTCAGCTGTCAGTGGGAACCCCACTGACAGCTGAAACATGATGCATGCTTTTCACTGCTAAAATTCAAGCATGACTTGATAAAATCATGCAGTATTTTAGTAGCCTTTTTTAGTGGATTCAAATGGGTTTTTTTTTAAAAATGCTATGTGGTAGGATACCACTTAGTGAATTGTGCCCTGGATATGGACTTGTCAAAAAACGCTTATAAACGCAAACGCTTATAAACGCGGTTAGCAGCATTTACAAGCGTTTGGAGTTTGAAACGCTGATAAAATCTACTCCTGAACGCAAGTTTGGTGCATTCAAAAATACGACTGTAAACTCAACTGCCTGTAAACGCAATGTGTACATGGACACATAGGAAGACATTAGGGAGAGTTCAGGGGCTGCTGAAAAAAAAGAAGAAAAGCTCCTGAACGTGAGTTTATCAGCTGCAGTTTACATGAACCCTAATGCAGGTCCGTGTTGTATTTTTGATAAATTATTAAATAAGAATGTTGGAATACAGTTAAAGCAAGCAACCTTTCATAAAATTAATTTACTTGAAGGGCTGGATGGGGAAAGAGTTTATATCTTTGACCAAAAAGCCTAGTACACATGTTTAGAAAATTGTATGAAAAATACCACTTTCAAAGCAATCATACGATAATCTGATAGTACACAGCTATCATCCCAAATTGTTTGAAGGGACAAAACTTTTTCTCGTTTGATACTAGATCATACAATTTTCATTTAATCAGTACAGTTTTCATCCGAAAATACAATACAAATACATTACATCTCTTTTGAATTTTGATTCTGTTGTACAAGAATTTTCATAACTTTAGTAATCACTTCACTTTCAATATGAGACTAGCATGCCAAAAAAACCGGACGATCATTTGTCCGATATTCTCATGGTGTGTACAGGGCTTAAGGCAGGCTGGTTGATAACAGACACAACTTGTAGGTGTCAGATCTGAAAAAGAAGCTGTAAGAAGAAGTATTGATTAGGCAAGATAAGCCATGCTTACCACTAAGTCGAGTTATTGTCCAGTTTTTTTTTATGTCCATTGGGCTATATGGGAGCTCAAAGATGAAAGGTCCTGCGTTGGGATTGATGTCAGCATCTATCGCTGTAATATTAATGGCATTTGGGTCTGGCCGTTCACAAATTTCCACCTCTTTTGGAAAAACATGAGGAGCATTGTCGTTTATGTCCAGCAAATAGATTTGTAGTGTGCCTGTACCACTCATTGGAGGAACACCTATTTAAATTATAAATCACACAGATATAAATAGACATAAATAATCATACTAAACTTTATGTTGCTTGATTCAATAATAAACTGGCCATACATTAAACTAAAGTGCCCTGATCTTCAGCAGGATGACTTGTACATGTATCTGACAGATCAAAACAGTTGACTCGAAATCAGAGCTTTCAGATCTGACAACAACTGTAGCAGTCATATAGCTGCATATATGGAGTCCCAAGGGTAGCCATGGCACTCTATATGTGAGGTAAGTGCCCAGGTGTTCACCCACAAAAAAATTTCATAAAAATCCAAAATAAGTATAGAGGCATTAATGGGTCTTACAGTGGAGATAAATCAAAACATGAGTGTTTTTATTGTGGATGTTTCGATGGAGCTCAGTCCATCTTTCTCAAGACATCTCAAGTGTTTTAAATTTGTTGACTCTTTAAAATATATAACATTAATGTAGAGTATTCAGTGTCTGTAGTGTGCAATTGTTGATAAAAATGTCTGTACTGCTCAGAATACTAAATATCTCTTTACACATTATGAAGGAGTGTTGTGAAATCCATAGGTCTCGATAGAAATCTGAAAAGGATTTGAATCCCACTAACAGTGATATGAAGTATAAGGTCAACTGCTCAAGACATGGCATCCAAAAGTTCATAACTATACCAAGACTGACCTGGGATTCTGAAACAAGCTTGCTCTGTCATTTTCTGAAATTAATTTAGCACCAAACCCTACCATTCTCTCCCCTGCTAAGATCTAGTGTCCTTGTATTTATTATGTTGGGAATGAGGTGTCTTCCAATTTTGACACTAACATAAAACTTTCATATTTTCAGAGAACAATTACGTTTATAGTGCAAAAAAATAAAAAAACCCAGTGATGATTAAATACCATCAAAAGAAAACTCTATTTTTGTGAACAAAAAATCATAATACAAAATTTAATATGGGTACAATGTTGCATGACCGCGCAATTGTCATTCAAAGTGCGACAGCACTGCAAGCTGCAAAATTGGCCTGGGCAGGAAGGGGGTAAACGTGCCCACTAGGCAAGTGGTTAACTGAACAAGCTGAAGATAGAAACCTATTTGCACAGCTACTCCAGAGTCTGTCTGCTCCAGCTTTGATAAATTCCCCCCAACAATATTTCAATGGAAACTTTTTATAATATACATATAAGAATATTTACATACTTTTTTTTTCAAAAAAATAAGCCAACAGCTAATATAAATTAACATGCTGTTAATTAGTACTTATTGCAAACACAAAATCATATTTATTGTGTTTCACAAATATGGGATGTAGGCCACATTTGCAGTTGTAAACATATTTGACCTAATTACATTCTAATACGATGTACACAAAAGAAAAATAAAATATAAGTTTCTGTTGAAAACTTACCGCTATCAGTTGCAAGAAAAGTTGCATTGTACATATTATTTTTTACATACATGGATTCCCTGTCTAAAACAGCAATTGTTGTTATCTGTCCATTTATAGGGTCGATTTTAAGCCAGTTTCCAGGGTCTGATAGTTTTGCATATCTAAGAATAAAAATATTGGCTATTATTAGTAGACGTAAGTTCTAATACTTTCTCATAGATTCCAGCTGATGGAAAATAAAACACAATGAAGCAAATTGTTTGTATGGGGCAAAAAAAAATAGAATTTTAGCTGAAGTAAACCTGTGGCATTATTTGATGCAATAAACTAAGGGCTATATCTAGTAGTTGACATTAAATATCACCAGTGCTACTCTTAAAAATTCACTGCAGCTAACTGTTTCAAAGTTGCCTTACAAAGATAATATAGGATTGCTATGTGAAACAAACTATAACATTTCACAGCAGCCCGGTGTTTTATCAAGGGCATTACCATACTGTAATTAAAGAAGGTGGAATAGGACGATTTGTTTTTTTTACTTTTTGGATACGTGTGCACTGACTGTATGCTAAAGGCACTGTATACTGTATTCCTGTAAACAAAAGGGGAAAAACTATTGGTCAAACGTTAACTGCAAATGATTTTTGTGCAATTCTACTGAAATTTCAGATATTAGATAACAGACATCTAATGCATATGGATAGATCTAAAAGAAATGCATGACTGGAAGCTAAGCTACAGAACTAATTTTACACATAAATGCATCTTAAAATTGAACAAAAAGCATTAACTTTTTTTTTTTTTTTAGTGGAACAGAAATGAAAAATGTTAGGAGGGAGAGTTTTTGTAAAGTTTTTCAGTAGGAGACACTTTGTAAAAAGAAAAAAAAACTCCTTTCCCAAACAATATTATTTTCTCTGTACACTGCATGCAGTACTGTACATGCAAAGAGGTACACTCTTGGTCCATTTTGGCATCTGTATTATGCTGAGAGTGCAGACAGGGGCCAGGATAATATAACTTTAGTACACATGCATGGGAGGTACATCATTTGTGGTTGAAGAAAGAAGATAGTGGAACAGAAGAAACATCAAAGAAGAGGGCAGTAACAGTGACCAAGTGACAAGGGAAAGGGATGACCTGTCATAGCTGGAGAAGGCTACACTAAGATGTCTAGTTGCCATAATGTGGAACTATGCCATACATGCTCGCACATTGTGGCAAGTTCTCTTCGGGTCCCCGGAATGACTTTAGTTCAACTTTTATTATCTCTACAATGGTGATCTGCCTACAGACACATCACAACTCTCCAATGAATCATAATGTGTGAAATAATGAAGGAGCAGGTACCCAGATAGCAGATACCCAAACACAATTTGAAATACCCTCCCAGCTAGACAGGTGCCTTAGGTACCTACAGAAGAAGAAATGGATGAATTGTTCCATTATTTCTGGCATATATGCAGTCCATATAGTTGTGCTCTATGAAACATGGCCTCCTCTTCTGTGTCCCTATCTGATCAGTTTTGACTTTTATTTTTACTGGAGCCGGTCCTTTTCTGATTTCATAGTTAAGCACTGCTACTGCTCCTATTAGACTGCTTAAGTGACCAGTAAAGGCTCATTCACTGGATAGCTTGGCTATGAAGTCAGTGAAAGTAAGGTCCCAGAAAAAAAATTAAAAGAGAAGCATGGCAAAAAGCTTTTTTCACTTGTGCTCTCCTGTGACCCAGAATCAGCTAACAGTGGGCTAAAGCGTGCCACCAGCTGACGTCACAGAATCCACCATATTGTCAGGATCCACCCAGCTAACTGACAGCAGGCTCCATCTCTCAATGAATGGCTGAGAGACAACGCCAACTGTGCCCATCCCCTTTCCAGGTCGGTTCTCCAGGGAGCACTGGAGGGGCAGAGCAGAGAGTGGTGACTGACTGTAACTGCTTTTCTCTCCTAGAAGACAGAGAACTTAGCGATCTACAGTCATGTGATTGCCCAGTTCTCAGTACGAGAGCTGGAGGGGACAGCTGATGCTGAAGCATGGAGGTGAGTATATATGCTTATTTATTTCAGAACTCCACTTTTCTCCTTTAAATTAATCAGAGAGTGGCAAAGAATATGCTTTTGTGCATAATACAAGTAACAAAATGCATCCTCTGCTGTTAGCTCCTAAGTACAATGTTTACTTTTGAAAGTTTAAAATTAGTGCAGGTTCACCTTAGAGCTCGTAATCCAGAAATACTAGAGAAAAACAGAGCTAGGTGCAATTAAGTAGGACAATATAATTATCTGTGCATTGATGTGTGTGAATCACTCTTTATCAATGACTTTAATTTGAGTAAAAAGACAAAACAAACAAACTAAAACAAAATGACAAAAATATCAATATCAAGTCAATGCATATTGGCTTGAGAAAATGTGTGAAGCCAACGGTGACCTTCAGAAGTGGAAACCAAATTATCTAATAACAGCAGTTTTAAGAGAAAAGAAACTTGAAGTTTACCTAATTGTCTGCTGCAGGTAACGGTCTGGATCTTGAGCATTACAAATTACAAGAACATTTCCTGGAAGCAGACCTTCTTCCTGACGCACAAGCTTAGGGTTTGAGGTAAAGTAGGGACTCTCATTGACATCAATGATAGTAATGGAGACAGTGGCTGTTGACTGAGGAGGGTGATGGATGCCCTTAATTAATGGCACTTGGTTTTCTGCAGCTACCGTCAAAACAAACATCCTGTTGGTCTCAAAGTCAATTGGCTAAGTGAAAAAAATAGAAAAGAAATTTAGGTTAGAGAGTATAACTGATTAATAAGAATAGTATATAACTAGCTGTGTACAATGTTTAGCTTAAAGTAAATGTAAATCTTGCCTTTTCAATCAAAAAACAATGCATTCTTCACATTTTGTTTCCCTTTTTTGGGCTTTTTTTATGCTATTGGACAGCTTTCATATCCGCAAGGCTGGGGTTGTCCTGAAAATACAGTGTATCGTTACTGCCAGTGAGGTAATTGAACACTGAAGGACTTCCCATGCTTCTGGTATTTTCCACTGGAGGTGAAAGGGGTGGCTGACTGGTTTGTGTTTAAAACAGGCAGACTACAGTCGTGCCCTGCAGTTCCACAAGGAAGATGCAAATGATGGGCTAACAACTCCACTACTGTATTGAAAGCCAGTGGTTCGGCATTGTCATCATGAAACAGGAAGCCCACAGGAGTCTGCTAATAGGATCTTCAGTACTTTGCACACTTTGCTATTCTAAGCCAAATTGTCCATATAATCGGTAGGAAAAGGTATAAATACTGAAACATGTCTAGCCAAGCAAAGCCCAGGTAAATAGTTGAAAATAGCAAATTTTCAAACTGTCCATATAATTGGTAGGAAAATGTATAAATACTGAACACATGTCTAGCCAAAAAAAATCCCAGGCAAATAGTTGAAAATAACCAATTCTCAAAAAAATATATTCGGTCTATCATAGTAATTATGAATTGACCCCATATTTACATCAAATGTTGATATACAGAAGAAATATACAGTCAGGTCCATAAATATTGGGACATCAACACAATTCTAACATTTTTGGCTCTATACACCACCACAATGGATTTGAAATGAAACGAACAAGATGTGCTTTAACTGCAGACTCTCAGCTTTAATTTGAGGGTATTTACATCCAAATCAGGTGAACGCTGTAGGAATTACAACAGTTTGCATATGTGCCTCCCACTTTTTAAGGGACCAAAAGTAATGGGACAGAATAATAATCATAAATCAAACTTTCACTTTTTAATACTTGGTTGCAAATCCTTTGCAGTCAATTACAGCCTGAAGTCTGGAATGCATAGACATCACTAGACGCTGGGTTTCATCCCTGGTGATGCTCTGCCAGGCCTCTACTGCAACTGTCTTCAGTTCCTGCTTGTTCTTGGGGCATTTTCCCTTCAGTTTTGTCTTCAGCAAGTGAAATGCATGCTCAATCGGATTCAGGTCAGGTGATTGACTTGGCCATTGCATAACATTCCACTTCTTTCCCTTAAAAAACTCTTTGGTTGCTTTTGCAGTATGCTTTGGGTCATTGTCCATCTGCACTGTGAAGCGGCATCCAATGAGTTCTGAAGCATTTGGCTGAATATGAGCATATAATATTGCCTGAAACACTTCAGAATTCATCCTGCTGCTTTTCTCAGCAGTCACATCATCAATAAATACAAGAGAACCAGTTCCATTGGCAGCCATACATGCCCACGCCATGACACTACCACCACCATGCTTCACTGATGAGGTGGTATGCGACGGATCATTTTTTTTTTTTTTAATTTAAATTTTATTTATTTTCCCATATATATTGCACATTTCAGCATTATTCTCATACAAATTTACATATCTTTAATAACATTTCTAACTATCTCTATTCCCATTTACCACCCCTCCTCAAAAAAAAAAAAAAAAAAAAAAAAACCCCATATAAACCCACCCACTCTGCATAATTCAATTATCCCTCTTCATACGCGAATATAGGGAATTTAAAACCTTCTATCCTTCTCACATAGTTACTCCATATATTTCACCATGTATTCTTCCCATGTTCTCCACCTCTTATAGAACAACCCCATCCTGTCTTCCTGCATATAACACAATCTCTCCATCTTACAAATTTGATTAGTTCTTTCCACCCAATCCTCTATCTTAGGCACCTCTGGTCTATGCCAAAACTTAGGTATCAGACCCTTCGCCGCATTTAGATAGCACCATATACCCGAATCCTTGTACTTATTTACTGATAACTCTGTACTATGTAGTAGACATACTGCTGGGTCCAGTCCTATCTTTATCCCGGAGATATTCTCAATTACTTGGACAATTATCTCCCAGAAACCTTGAATCTTTGGGCACTCCCACCATATATGATATAATGTGCCTATTTTTGCACATCCCCTCCAGCACTCTAGTGAATTTTCCCCACATATCTTATACACAATATTCGGTGTAATGTGCCATCTCGTTAAACATTTATAATTTACCTCCACCTCTCTCATACTTATATTCTCGTGTATTAATCTATATATTTTCCTTTGTTTATCCTCATCTATCTCTATTCATGCGACGGATCATGAGCAGTTCCTTTCCTTCTCCATACTCTTCTCTTCCCATCACTCTGGTACAAGTTGATCTTGGTCTCATCTGTCCATAGGAAGTTGTTCCAGAACTGTGAAGGCTTTTTTAGATGTCGTTTGGCAAACTCTAATCTGGCCTTCCTGTTTTTGAGGCTCACCAATGGTTTACATCTTGTGGTGAACCCTCTGTATTCACTCTGGTGAAGTCTTCTCTTGATTGTTGACTTTGACACACATACACCTACCTCCTGGAGAGTGTTCTTGATCTGGCCAACTGTTGTGAAGGGTGTTTTCTTCACCAGGGAAAGAATTCTTCGGTCATCCACCACAGTTGTTTTCCGTGGTCTTCCGGGTCTTTTGGTGTTGCTGAGCTCACCGGTGCATTCCTTCTTTTTAAGAATGTTCCAAACAGTTGTTTTGGCCACGCCTAATGTTTTTGCTATCTCTCTGATGGGTTTGTTTTGTTTTGTCAACCTAATGATGGCTTGCTTCACTGATAGTGACAGCTCTTTGGATCTCATCTTGAGAGTAGACAGCAACAGATTCCAAATGCAAATAGCACACTTGAAATGAACTCTGGACCTTTTATCTGCTCATTGTAATTGGGATAATGAGGAATAACACACACCTGGCCATGGAACAGCTGAGAAGCCAATTGTCCCATTACTTTTGGTCCCTAAACAAGTGGGAGGCACATATGCAAACTGTTGTGATTCCTACACACCATTCACCTGATTTGGATGTAAATACCCTCAAATTAAAGCTGACAGTCTGCAGTTAAAGCACATCTTGTTCGTTTCATTTCAAATCCATTGTGGCAGTGTATAGAGCCAAAAATGTTAGAATTGTGTCAATGTCCCAATATTTATGGACCTGACTGTAACATAGTTTCTTCTGAAAATGACTGGATTTAAAGAAGCAAGTAGAGATTAATTTTCATGCACTTTACTGCGCTTCATGCTTTATAGCCTATTACAACCTTTGAGTCTGCAGTAATTATAGAAATAGAGGTAAAACTTGTATTCACACAATAGGTGAACAATTAAGGATTACGGCATGTAAAAAGTATGTATGAATGTTTTATCATTTCATAATCAAAAGTATATTTGTAGTTTGATCACTTTCTGTTCGGTTAACATAAATATCAACAGAGGTTCTATCACATGTAAACCCTGTCTGCATTACTTACAGGTAAGTATTAATATGCACTTTCATATTTTTCTTTTACATTAAATTTGCCTTAAATTAATGTGAACTATAGATATTTTTACATTTCAACTTACTTTGACAACAGTCACCAAACCATCATTACTGTTTGGATCTGTCCTAATGGTAAAACGTCCTGTGGCATCACCACTGACAATTTTGTACACTGTGTTCCAAGCACTGGTGTGTGGCTGGTCCTTGTCCGTTACAGTAAGGTTTGCTACTACAACATCAATTCGGTTTTCAGGCACTTCTCCGTAAAACTGAAAAAGGAAGAGGAGAACTTACTTTACAAAAAATGCTGAACAGCTTCTACAATATTTACATATTCATATAATCAGAAAATAAACTAATAAAATGGCTTGTGATTATCATTGGAAGAGGTATTAATTGACTGTCATTGCATGGCATTGTCATGGGCTCTTATCTTCTTGGAACAGTGCATTGTCTCAGAACTAATGCCTTACTTATCTCATTCGGCAGGGCATTGACTTGCAGGTAATGCTCGGTGGTGAGAAGATTATTATGTGTAATAATACGAAGTGAACAGACAGACTTAGCATCACAAATGTTTAAATAAGTCATGAAATGAGCCACCATTCTGAAGCATTTAATGCTTTTCACAGAACACAAATATCTAAGGCAGCACGAGATGAAAGGGACAGCAGTGCATTGCAATGCATTGAAAACAAAATGAAGGCCATTATAGCTCATTCCTTTAAAAACTAATGTAATTACATGCAAGGAAACATTATCTTGTCATCCTATGCAGTTCAGATCTCCAAGCTACAAAGAATTGAGGTCTAACATTATTTACATTCATACTGGAGGTATGAAAGAATAGAAAAGACAAATCACTAGCTTTTCAAACAATAATGTACAAAGTTTAGAACAATGAAAGATGATGTGCTTTTGACATTGTAGAGCAGAATAGCCAACCTCAGCCATTTCTGTTTGTGCTGGCTTAAATTTCGGCTGTGCTGTTCAGCACTGACATATCAGCTGGCAGAACAACATGGATAGCTGCCCATACCTGCTGTATTCAATAATATAGAAATGGTAAATGAGATGGGAGGGGTATCGTTTTTTGCACTGTTTAATAGTGACAAACAGAAAGAAATAGCACACTGAAACCACTGTTGCACTCCCAGCTTCAACTCACTTGGGAAAATATTTTTTTAAGTTTAAAAAAGACAACCCATGAGCACTCTTAACAAGACTTGCAAGGCTAAATCTTACAGATTTCGGGCAACTTGTCCCTACATATGCAACTTTCAGTATAGTGTCCACATGCAATATGTCTTGGCTCGTAACAGTTAAGGCTGTACGCATGGGCTGAATCTCAGCATGTATCAACTGGTTCAACAGAAACCAGCCGACATTCTGCTAGTGTCTACAGCAGCCTGTCGGACAGAAGCTAGTCCAACGTCTGACTTCTGCCAAAAGTACATGCTGGAAAACCAGCATCTGATCAGTGCTGGCAGCCAATAGCTACCAGCACTGATCAGTGTGTTCTTGTGAAGGGATGGGGGTGAATCTAGGAACCACTTAAAAAAGTTAGGAGACATATGGTGGGACAGTGCGACAGGTGGGGGGGGGGGGGGGGGGCAGTGAGTCAGAAGGGGGGCAGAGGGACAAGAGGAAGGCAGTGGAACAGGAGGGCCAAGTGTCATGGGAGTTGGAAGCATCACAGTAGGGGGGCAGTGGAACAGGTGAGGGGCATCTTCACAGGAGGGGGGAAGCAGGACAGGAGGGGGAAGTGTCACAGGAGGAGGGCAGCATCACAGGAGGGGGCAGCGGGACAGGAGGGGGCAGCGGGACAGGAGGGGGGCAGTGGGACAAGAAGGGGGCAACAGGATAGGTGGGGGGCACTGTCACACACTTTGGGAAGTACCGGTCCCCCCAGCTCCCACATGTCTAGCAGTGGCTCCTCCTGATGGTGTCAGTGGAAAGGATCTAATGCCAGGGGGAGTAGCTGAGCTGTTGCAAACCTGGTTGTTGTGGCCAGTAAGGGGGGGTTGGCACCATGCTGCAAGTGGGGCTGTCTTCTGTCCCGCAGATCGGGGGACTTGGTGGCTCCAATGACTCCAGTCTGCATGTGGTGGGAAGGGTGTGGCTGTGTGTGTGGTGTCCTACAGTGGGGCGGCTTTCATGGGGCTGTGCGGGGAGTTCAGGGGTATTCTTTACTCGGGAGTGGTGTGCACCAGGGGGCTCTGCCTGGACTCTGGGGACTCGGGACACTGGGCTGGGCTCCATTCTGTGGGGCAGGAGAGGGGCAAGCTGAAACCCCAAAGTGGGGGAGCATGGGGCAGTGTGGGCTGGCGGGATCCCAGGCGCCAGGATGCGGTTTATGGTCATTGTGGTGACCTAGCACCTGGGATTTGTTGAGCCCTGCATTGTAGTAATATAAGGACTGAAAGATCACCATTTCTGAAGAAAACACTGCTCTGGGATCTTTAGAGTGCTGTCCACATGTCTGAAGGCCCAGGTACTTATTTGATCTCTCCTAAAGGGAAGGATCATAGTTCAAATGATCCTCCATTTTAACTGAGATCACATGTCTATGCCCTGCAGGCATATGGCCCACTCTAAAAAGAGCCCTATGCAGCCTTTCTCCAAGAAAGGTAAGAATTTAGCCCATTTAACACTTTGAGGTTGATTTACTAAAACCGGAGAATGCAAAATTTGGTGCAGCTGTACATGATAGCCAGTCAGATTCTAACTTCAGCTTGTTCAATTAAGCTTTGACAAAGAAACCTTAAAGCTGATTGGTTTCTATGCAGAGCTGCACCAGATTTTGCACTTTACAGTTTTAGTAAATCAACCCCTTCCTGTCTTTTTTATGTCTGAATTTGTGACTCTGAGTACTTTGTGTTATCACAAGTAAATTATCATAGGACTTGCTGAAGTGCTTTTGACCTTCTTGTGACCTGCTTCTCACAAGCATCTAACATTTAAAATAATGATTTAAAATGCTTTTGAATTCCTACTGAGATTTACATGGAGAAAACCAAATCTGATGCAAACAAAACTTACATACAACATACACAACTCATATACTGTAAATATGTTAAAAATGTCTAAAATAAGATGGTGGTCATCCCATGCATATGCAAGAAGAAAACAAATGATTTTTTTTGTAATGTTTTTGGATTGCGTGTTTTGCCACACACAAGCAATTACAACAACATATATGACACATCTGTGTAATTTGTGTCAACGTCTAAACAAAGAGCAATGTGTATGGCATCAACTTACCTCTGCTTTACTGGGAGACAAACATAGTTATCACTAGCTAAAATTCTACCAAATAAATAGAAGTGCTTATAATTTACACCTACACAGTATCAGGTTGTTGCATGAACATGTCAGAAACAGTTCATGACCCTGTACTAGCAGTTTTAAAGCAGGATTATGCCAATCTTTTCTCCTGATTGTACATTATATTTTAGAAGACACACGATTGTCTTTATTTGCACAAAGTACTATATCTGCATAGTTTTACAAGATACCATTATTCTAGGATTTGTTGGGAAAGTTATTTCTTATAAGTCAAGCATTACCTACATACAAGTCTCCAGTCTGTCTTGCTATCTATGTTAAAGTATATGGCTAGGATATCTGAAATCCACAAGAAGTATCGTTTTATCATTTTTTGGACACTAAACTATACAAAAAAAAAGACATTGAAATTATCAGAGCTCAGATAAATATAGAAATATTTTTATAATCCTTCTGCATTTTACACATTTTATAAAACTACTCTACCTACAATACCGCCCTTTAGCATTAGTTCCTACCCAGGAAGGAACTCATACTCTAATGTCCCTGCCATGGTCAAAGAGGTAGACAAGCTAACAAACAGTTTTGGGAAAATTAACCCTCTTGTATGCTCTAATTAAACCCATATAAACAGGGGAACATCATGGAACCTTCAGGCAGATGATTGGGTAGACTTACTAGAGGAGTAAAGGTTGTTCATCTTAGAAAGTTTATGTTTTTGGAGCTTATTGGGTAAGGTAAAGCTGTGTTCACGCCAATAAACAAAAACAAAAACCTGTTTTTTTTTTAAACTTCTCTCACACATAATTAGGTGTTCAAGTTGAACATAGGTTAAGCTTATTTACTAGCATTTAAAATTCACACTGTTAAATTAGCAGCCTCTACTCCTTTAGGTCTCTAGAAGGCAATTGAAGTCAGATCCCCAGTGATGCAGAGCAAGAGTGCTAGACTCAATGTACTATCAGGCCTACAATTTACAGCTCTTGATCGGCACATGCTGTAGAAACAGGGAAATATCACAAATGAGAACCACAGTAAGCACCTTCTAATTAATAAATCACTTGACTCATTTGTGTTTAATATATCAATAAACTAAAACAGACCTTTCAATAAAACAACCTTTTAAGTGTTATGTAGCTTTAATGGCCAAATTTTTTAAACAAATGTTGATGAGAATTAGTTTGCAATGACTGACTTATTGCTGAAAAGTCACCAAAGGCCATGCCTGATGGGTAGCTTATAGGCAGATGCACAGACACTAATGTTGAACAATTATTGATGAGGCTGCATGAGACATCAGTTGGAATGCTACTGTATGTCCCCATTTTCTGCATGCACTTTTTGTAAAGTATTCAAAATAGCCTTTTCAGTAACTTTTGCAAGTCTGCACAAATCATTTCCTGATATGTCACAATATACAGCAATAGGATAATTCTACCTAAAAACCCTGTACCTTTTAGGCTCCATGCACATGGATGTATTGAGACACAAATATATGACTAAAGTAAAATTCTGTAATTTTTCCATGTTTGGGGAGCTGGGCATAGTACCAAATGGCTGTACGCAACTGTACTTGGGTCAACGCTGATGCTTTCGTGTATTGGTGTAAACACACGCATGCCTGTATAAGGTATTCCTCCAGGTTCAGATATTCAAGGGGAATACGTAATGTATGCGCATGTTTATGCTGAGGCACAAAAGTATTGGCATATATTCAAATACAACATTGTACATCCATCAACTGTATATGCCATCTATGGCTCCCCAGACTTGGGGAGAGAGACATGTTTAATGTTAGGTATGCATAAACACTGCACTGGACCGGCCAGACCACTCCACAAACCATGCAGTGGCTAGGGTGAATGAGCCCATATTTTTTAGTGACCATGTTTCAATGGAAGCAATACACTGAAAAAAAATCAGATGAAAACCACTGTTTTCTGGCTCATGGCAGTGAATCATTAAAAGTCCAATGAAGTAA